CTTTCAGCCTAACTGAAATCATGGCATTGTTGTTGGTTTAAATAGCAGGAGGCACAACTATTTAGGTATGTGCACTTGTTAACTAATTTATAAAAATAATAAAGGGGGGAAATCTAAATAAAACCCCCAGAAATCAAGAACAAAACATTTGGCCATATTTCATTTAGATGTTGGACTAAAGTGGATAAAGCCAGAGTGTGGAGTTAAGCATGTCATCAGTTTGGAGTCATTGTGTTGCCACAATAGACTCAAGTCCATCTCTGCAAATTCCATTGACCCTAATCAAAAGCCAATGTACTACTGACCATAAGCTGACTACATTCTTTGCATAGGAGGCAAGAATAAACTTTTCTGTGCTTTGAACTCAACAGCTCTATTTAATTAATTGTGCCTGCATTATGTTGAATTCTGATATGATATGGTCACTCTCTGCCAAAGTCCCTGCAACTTATAGATGACCTACAAGGACCCTTCCAACTTTGTTGTTATGTTATTATTATTAAGAATTAAGTCCACTTTAGCTGACTCTCTAGTTACCTCCACAATTAATAGAAGCCAGCATGACCTTGTCAAAAACACCATCCCAGATCAACATTATTTATTTCTTTAATGAAGTGACTAAGTGGCAAGATAGAACAATGTGAAATAGACAGTACCACCACCTGATGGATGGGGGGAAATAGCAAGCAGTTTTGCATATAGGCTCAAGATTCATAATGGCCTTGAAAGACTTGAACACTGGGCCCTATCCAACAAAATGCAATTCGGTGGTAAGCAAATAATTTCCTACACCTAGCAAAGAAAAGCCAAATGCATAAATATAGAGGCTAAATCATATGATGAATGACTGAAGAAAATAGGCCTGTCTACTTTAATGAAGAGATGAATTAGGGATGATATGATAGCAGTCTTCCAGGATTTAAGCAGCAATCACAGAGGATATGGAGTCAACTTATTCTCCAAAGCACTTGAGAGCAGGAGAAGAAATAAGATGTGGAAGATCATTAAGAAGAGATTCAACCTATATCTAAAGAGAAATTTCCTGACAGTGAAAACAATTAGTCAATGCAATGGTTTGCCTCTGGAAGTGGGTGCTCCATCACTGGAGTTTTCAAGGATAGATTGAACAGAAATGGTATAGAATCTCTATTTTTTTCTGGAATGGTATAGAATCTCCTGCCATGGGCAGCGGGTTGGACTAGAAAACCCCCAAGTCTCTTCTAACAGCATTATTCTATGTCCTGTGATTGTTTTCAGTTATTTGTGCCTGACAATATGTCTATAATTGCGTGATGGGAACTGTACATTTTGGACAATGCTGATATTCAGAGGTCTCCCGGGACAGGTCATGGTTCTAAAGACTTTAATCTGGCCCTTCTTTCTTTGATGTCTACATTCCAAGAAAATTAAGACTTTAATCATACTGCAACAATACTATAAGTGTATTTGAAATGGCTGCTGCCAGTGATGGAATATTGTGGTTTGGCAAGGAACCATTTCTTCTCAAGTACAGTAAAGTCTCATCCTCTTGTCCAGGTGGGAACTCACAGGGGCCTTCAGCTTTTTACTGACAATTCCCTTCTGGTCTGTTGGTGCTGTGACTCAAGGGGGCTTTTGGTCAGCAACCTTCAATGCTTGTGCCCATACAAACATTTTCATTTTTTTTTCTTGACCTGAAGTGAAGTTTCTATCAGATGGTGAGTAGGGTAAAAGTGATATTAGTTCCCTGGAGAAAATATTTACTTCTTTGATGGTCTCTGCTCAGCTGTTCTTTTTTAAAGGCTATGGTGAAACAAGGAAGAATGGTCCAAGCATGCTTTGAATCCCTTGCAAACCTGCTGAGTCCAGCCTAGATCTCGAATTCATTTTTAAATGTATTATTTTTGAGATGTTGGATTGGGTTCAGGATACTCATATTTAAGTCTCCAGTTACCATGTACCTCGCTGGGTGACTTTGGACAATTACTTTTCTCAGCCCAGCCAAGCTCACAAGATTGGTGGTGTGCAATGGTGGGATTCAATTTTTTTTTTTACTACCAGTTCTGTGGACATGGCTTGATGGCATGGCAGGGGAAGGATACTCTCCAGTCAAAGGTGGTATTTGCCAGTTCTCTGAACTACTCCAAATTTTCACTACTGGTTCTCCAGAATTGAGAACCAGAGTATACACTGAGGGGAGAAAAGATGGCAGATTAATGTAAGAGAATAATAGAGATTTATGATTATAGCTCTTATGTAACAATTTTCTTAAATTATACTGATGACTTTTCATTTTATGTTTCTTTCTTTGACCAAGCAATATCATTTGATTTTGTTCCTAACAACTACTAGCATAAGACAATAGATAATAATTGACCACCAAATGTAACATAAAAATTATAAGTAAATAAGATAAAAAGTAAAAAAAAATTATGAACTATATACATTACAGTGTATGATGCAGACTATGCAGCAGTGCTTGGCTGCGGTGTGGCTGTGGTGAAGGAAATAAATCAGATTGACCTGATAATAACATTTTGAGATAAAACAAATCAGAATCACCAGGATATTTAATAAAGAATGAAAAATGAAATGGAGACTGCATTGGGTAATGAGTGTTCCATTTTTCCTTTCTATATATCTTTTCTCTCCCAAACTTTATTTTTGAAGATTGTAAAATATGAAAAGAATGCCAGAATACACAATATTTGCTCACACCCTTTGCACACTAAATGCAAAATAGATTTTTTCTTTGAAAATATTTCTAAAATAAATGTCCTTTCACCGATTTGAATAAAAAGCAGGTAGAGAAAAATGCCACAGCAATTTCTTTGATTAGCACTAGTGAATTCCTCTAGCAAAAGTTGCATGTATAACTTTTCTTTTCATAATAGAGGTAGACAAAAAATAGATAAAGGTGATTTTATCAAATGAGACACCATATGGAGGAAGAGGACAGATGCAGAAGCCTAAGGCCTAGTATTCCCCAGAATCTGGCAGAAGAGATGGAGGGAAAAAATAACTTGGATTGAACTAAAGAATTAGAAACAAATTTAGATAAGGGAGTGTGTTAGATATAAGTGTCAGAAACTAATTTTTCATCTGCTATTGCAGTGAACAACAACAAAGATTAACACAGAAAATTGGCTTATCAACTAATTATCATTATCAGTCAGTCAATAAGCTTTCTTATGCTTGACCGATCATAAAAAGAAAAATATTCTAGCTCTACCATATAAAATGTTAATACAATTAAATATTATGATTATTAAATGAATACAGCTAAAGAATCACATATTTTACATGCAGCAAAAAATAAAATGTAGCCGTATTCATAGAAAAGAAAACAATAATAATTTAAAATTAATCTGAGTCTCCTGGACATGAAAAACAGTTAGTACAGGGGAGAAATATGTGATGATCTAGAAGCTTTCTTGACTACCAACTTGTGAATTATGATATAGAGACACAAAGAGACAAATTAATTGGGATGTGTGAGGTTATTCAGTTGGGTAGAAGATATGAGGAATAAAATAGGATAACCTTTATTGTCATTTTTACTGGCCTACATTAAAAATAAAATTATAGGTCTACATATACATAACACATATATACACATGCTACACACACACACACACACATAAATCACTGACCATTTTGAATACATAGCAGAAAGAGTATACTTGAGGATTCATGAGGCTGATGCTATATGGAACAAAATTATCTCAACCCTGGAATTCTGTACTTTTTAATGTCATCATTCTTTCTTCATGCTAAAATGGAACCAAGTTCTCACTTCTAGAAAGCTCCTTGCATAAGTCATTATTAAGAAGGCAATGGATAGGAAATCTTTTCTTCCTTTTTTCTATTACAAGAGAAGAATTAAAAGACTTGCATCAAATCAAGATTTTTTTAAAAAAAAAAAACTTTAAAAGCAAGTTTATGTTGCAGAGGCATGCATATATAATAATACTGGTTTATCATTTATCCTCCCCTAAAACAGAAAGGTCAAATTCATCATAAGATGTGGATTGAGGCTACTTTTATAGCTCTTCACCTAGACAGATTTTGAAATTTTAATTAGTTTGGTGTCCTTTTAAGAGAGGACTTCTGGTGATGGAAAGGGCAGAAATTCTGAAAGAAAACAAGCTGGCCACCAATGACAGTTTCAGAGGCTCATATACCTCCTTGTTTCTAAATGAAGAGAAGGTTCTTTCCCTTTGCCTGTGATTCATCTCAACATTCCCATTCAAAAACCCTTTAAAAATACAGAATAACAGAATTGGAAGGGACCTTGGACATCTATTCAAACACCCTTTTCAATTAGGTGACCTTATGCCATTCAGGGATGTCTAATCTCTTCTTTAAAACCTCCAGTACTGTAGCACCTATAGCTTCTGAAGGCAAGCAATTCCGATGACTATTCTCACTTTGAATGCATATTCCATCAGCTAAAATTTGCACCACCAAGGGATACATCATTTAGTCATGCCAGCGACATTACCATGGAGACATCTTCGGACAGCATTGGCTCTTTGGCTTTGTAATGGAGATGAGCCAGAAACTACTAGCATGCATGTGCAGGGGAACCTTTACCTAGTGAAGTCAGGGATCCTTTTGGTAGATGCATTGACATGGATTTAGTCTTCCCCACAATAATATCATTTTTCAAAGACTACAAGTCAGGTTGTTGAGCTTCCTGATTAGCAAATAGCACTAAATGAAAATAATGAAAGGATGCTAGATTGCTCAAAATTGCCTATTACTCACCATGAAAACTATGTCTGCTTGGCATTTAAAAATCCGTGCACAAGGGTACCTAAATTTAACTGTATTAACATGCAGGGTAGGGAGAGATCTGATGTGACCAATTAATCCCCTCCTTTGGGCTTTTATTTTGGGGCATGCCTTGAAAGAACTCTTCCCATAGAGTGACATGTGCTAAGCCAGCTACAAACCTGTCCTTCAATATTATTGTTATAACTTTGAATTCTGGGCAAATCCATAAGCAAATACCTTCTCATATAAAGGCATGAATGAAGTTGAAGAACTCATTAGTTGCTTCTCACAGTCAACTGCTCAGGTTGGCTTGAGAGCAGAAAGAGATTTCCTGTCCCGCAGCCAAATCCAGCTTCCAAAATGATCCAAGCTGTCTTGGTTACTATATGCTTAGTGGTTTTTCCATATCAGGGTAAGTTGGTTCCCTTCCATATCAGGGTAAGTTGGTTCTTTGGTTCCCTTTTCAGATTCTTACACATAAGAGATTATTGCACCCAACAGATTACTAGATTGTTTCTTTTGATGATTAACCACAATTTGTTTCACTTCAGTTTCTATAGACCCACCAAAAGAACACTCAAAGATTGCATTTGTATGAATTTTCATAGATTGCCTTTTTGTATTTGCTTAAACTTTGTCAATCAGGAAATAGATCTTAAAAAAGAAAAGAACTAAGATCCTCAAAACAAAAGCAGGTTTTCCAATAATGTGAGTAGAAAAGGATTAAAAGACTGAAGAGGACAGAGAGAAAGAATTTGTTGGAAGAAAATTCAGGAAGAAACCAAGTTAGTTTTAATTTTCTTCCACTAGGTCAATTAGACATCATGTAATTAAAGTTGCATAATATTGAGCAAACCACAGCTAGTGTTATTGTTGTTATCTTTAGAGAATCTTCAAACTGTACTCAAGCTAATTTATTTATTTGATTTGCCAATTGCTTACAAGATAATAGGTATAAGTATAAACATAGTTATGAATACATGGATACATATAAGAAAAAAAGAAACAATAGGACAGGGACGGTAGGCATGTTTGTGCGCTTATGCACGCCCCCTAATATGACACTTAATTTTTCTTAATGCAAGATTCTAAATTATCTTAAAATGTTTCTTCCCTCCATTATGTTTACTCTCTGGAAAACCTTCTGATATGCTTCCTGTGTTCTCCTTCCTTCTGTGGGCTGAGATACATTTTGCATGCCAGTTAACCAGTGTTTTTCTGCTGTCTCCCAAGCCATTCCCACATATGATTACAAACAATAATATTCAATTGCCTTAAATGGTTGTCCAAACACAATTAAGGGTTAAAAGCTGGCTGGAGTAGCCCTGACTTTTTTTAAAAAGTAAGGAAAAATGGGGTTGTCCTTACCAAGTGAGAAGCTTCCAAAATTAGAACAGTAATTGATGGAGAAAACATTATAGAGAAGAAAGGGAGTCAAAAGGGAAAATGCTGCTTTTTCTGTGCTCTAAGCAGGAGGGAATTTTAACTTTTCCTTTCGGTAGGGGAAAATTCATATGCACATAAATTTTCTGTGCTGTGTTCCACTAGAAAGAGACTCCATCATACACGATAACTAAATACCAAATTATGTAGTACACATGAAAATGTTAGAATAACATAGCAAAGTGATTCTTTCTTTCTTTCTCCCTTCCTTCCTTCCGTCCTTGCTTCCTTCCTTCCTTTCAATTAAGGGAGCTCTACAATCCTGGAATCTGGGAAAGTTAAAGATTATGAAGTAGTGTATCCACAAAAAATTCCCTCATTGCCCAAAGAAAGACTTCAGAAGCGTGAGGAAAAGGTAAGGAAAAATACTGCATTTCATCAAGTTATTCATTGATAAATGTGATCCTAGATTTTGCTCAAGATTATTATGAAGCAAAGTTAGAGTTAAAACTGTACTATTTTCAAATTTTTGCCATTTAGGTTCTTCAAACAAATTTCCATGAAATTCCAACTTTTTAGTGTTCATTTTGAAGGTTATTTTGTGTTTTGTAAAGGGAAATTATTACAGTCACATATTTGTCAGAATTCATAGACTATAAAAAGTGACAATGGGAGATAGGTTGTAATTGGGACATATCACCTGTTTCATTTTTAGGTTGGATCTGATTCTGTTTTAAACCTTAGAGATCTGAACACTTTGAATTATATTTGCACAGAGAGATTTCTAGAGAGTGCTGCAAGTAAAGATGTCATATAAGACTGTAAATCTCTGAAAGTCCATTTCATTGTGATTAAAAGTCTGTCAAATTGTAGAAGTCCGAAAAAACTGATGGTTATCTGCATTTTTGCAGTGCAATCTATATGCCTGCTTGGATTATTTATTTATTAAACAAATTTATATGGTTGCCCAATCCACCCACAATTGAAGAGACTTAGAACATTAATTTCCTAATGTTAATAGGTAACTATAACTAATAAAGTCTTGGGAAATGCCCAGTCAGACAGGGTGGAGAGATCAAGCAAGCAGGAAATTAGCAATTGCATTTTTGAGGAATTGCAAAAGATCCAAGACTTATGCCCCACCCCCAGCAATTCCATGAATCTTATTTATCTGTTTCCAAGAGAGGGCAATCAATCTAGGGAGATTCCTGTATTCTAGGCAGAATACGATGAAATAGTTAGTTTGAGCTCTACACATGTGAATTTGGTCACGTGTGCCTGAAATAAAGTTACTATTAATAGGTAACTTTAAAAGATTTCTTCTTCCTTTTTATGCTCTTGGGTCATCCTTCATAGAAGACGATGAGAAGCAGTGATAACTGTGAACCATGAGATATGAAACTATCCTTTCTACCTTCCTAGAATGCATCACTTTGAAATATAAAAGTTGGGTTTCTAGGTGAACACGGTGTAGTGGTTGTAGCTCAAGGTTAGGTTGAGGACTAGATTCAAGTCCATCCTCAGCCATAGCTCACAATGACTTTCAAGTCATTGTCCCAGCCCAACATCATTCACCAAGATGTTTAATTAGAAAAGGAGATCTTGAAGTTATACAAGCAAGTTTAGTTTAATTTAAGAAATTTTTACAGCGCCTTCCAAGCACCAGATGAAATACTCTAGATCTAATTGGCTATGGGTCTCCATTTGACACAGTTATAGACTAGTTAAGTGAGTACACATTTATTTTTTAAAAAATAAACACTGCACTCTTTGCATTTCAGACCAAATATGAAGATACCGTGAAATATGAATTTAAAGTGAATGGAGAGCCAGTGGTCCTTAACCTAGAAAAAAATAAGTATGTTAACATAGAAGTTCCCTTAACTTTTCAAAGACAATGTGAAAAATGTATATTCTTGGACATAATCCTACATAAATAATAATTGTATTGCTTTGTTTGGCAAATTAAAATTAAATTAAATTTAACATCACCTAAATGTAGTGGATGTAGATGTATAGTCATTGATCATGTTAATTATGTCTTAGCCCAGAACTGATAATTTTTATTCCTACTTTCAATGCTACTCTGCTTGATCCTAACATTTCTAGATAAGGTTGAACCACTCAAGACTCATAAACTTCTGTACCTTGAATTACCTAGGTTATTTATGAAATATTACAGGGATTTAAAAATTATTGTTTATACATTCATGCTGCTCCACAGACACCCCATCAATCTGTATGTTTGCTAAGAGCCCTATGTAGCTGCTCAAGTTTCACCAGAATGTACACATTGAAGCATGAAAAGCATGAAATGGCATGCCCTATTAAGGCATGAAAGAGGCAACCTAAATCTAAAGAAGCTTGACCTAAACAGACCCAGATTTCAACACACCCTATTTTTGTTGTTAAGAATGCTATGACAGTTGTTTCAGGGATGCTCATTTGAACTGTAAATCCAGATATTAATAAAGACAATAATAAACAGATTTTCTACCTGCTTATATCAGTATAATAGTATCCATTGGAACCTGCTTTTGGTCTTTCATTGACTCACTCAGCCAGGCTGTAGCACTTTTATTAACAGATTTGGTTCAGTATGGGAAATAGAAATAGACTAAAATTATTTTTAGCGGAACAGAATAACATAGTTGGAAAGAGGCTTGGATGTTTTCTAATCCAACCCTGTGCTCAAATAGAAGACCCTATACCATTATGTACAAATGGCTGCCCAGTCTCTTCTTTATAAACTCCAGTGGAGTATCCTCAACTTCTAGAAGCAAGCAATTCCACTGATTGTGCTCAATGTCAAGAAATTTCTCTTAGTTCTAGACTGGATTTCTCACATGTGCATAAACTGCTAACACTGCTAAAAGAAATGGTGTCATTTTCATTGCCCTAAAACCAGTAAATGCCACATCATCTTTTAAATTAGTATAGCAGCCACTGCACTGTAAACATGGGAAGAGTTGTTTAGAATCTCTGCAGCCCTCTTGCAATTTAATAATAGCTTTAAGATCCTGATACATAGTGGGAGCATTGGAAATAAAGTTCTGGCTTGGATTTTAGAGTGCATTTTTGTATTGACAATCTATATGAACTCTCTAAATATATATTGCCTTTAATATTAAGTATAAGCTACAAAGAAACTGCCCTATGTGTGTGTATGTATGTATGTATGTATGTATGTATGTATGTATGTATGTATGTATGTATGTATGTATGTATATTTCACTCTATCTTATACAATTAGAGAAATTAGAAATTCTAGTGCTTCCCTTTTCTACTGCTTAATTATGAAGGCTGTGTAGAACTTCATGGGTAGCATCTGGATGACCATGTTTGGACTTGGAAGCAAAGCAGAGCTGGAGGTGGGAGACTAGCAATGAATACCAAGGCTATGCCTAGACTGGAAACATAGAAGGCAATAGCAAGAGAACAGCATGGATGTGACACCAGGAGTAGAGAATGACTCAATGCTATTGTTTTGAAACAAGAGAGATGTTTCTGAATCAAGATTTAAGGCATCCCTTCCCTTGATTTCTTCCTAAATAGTACGAATCCCTTTACTATTGAGTAAATGGAGTTACACTACTCTCCTTTGCAGATGTAGCAGCTACACTGGATTGTTGCATAGATCAGAGGAATCAAAGGAGAGGCAATACAAAATGTTTTCTCCTGGTCAATCATACCACCTCTGAGCTGTGATAAAGAGAATTGCACAGCTTCCTTGGTGCAAATCTCTTTGCTAAGATGAATCTAGTATAGGCTTCACTCCTCTTAAGTAGCAGTCCTCATGAGATTGAAATACCTGCTCATTTCTTCTGATACCAAACAATATGCCTAAAATGCAGTAGTTGTAGACTTATTATACAATTATCTCTTTTCCTACTTAATTCCTGGTATAAATAATGCCTTCTTTGCATTCTTTCCAGACGACTTTTTTCAAAAGATTATACAGAGACTCATTATTCCCCTGATGGCAGAGAAATTACAACAAGCCCTCCAGTTCAGGTAATATCCAGAGTGTCTTACTTGTAGGAAATAAATTGAGAGGAATATTTGAGCACAATATTCCAAATAGGCATATACCAGACCAGGCTATTCAAACAGGAAGGCTATGTATGCATGAAGTGTCTTATATTTAGCATGTTTTGTGTAAGTGTGTGGATTGTTAAAACCCAATCTGTTCTACTTATTCAATTACTAGGGCAATGTTTCAATCAATCAATTCTTTGCTACTGATTAAAAGCAAACATTTCAGAGAGTGAGCCTCACAAATAGGTTTGTTATGAAAACATCAGGTTGATAGGATGTACTTTGCTTTTTAAACCAGAGTACAGTGATACCTGCAAAATCATTTGTTCGGAACAGCAAAAGTGAGAGGAAATAACTTTATTTGTACAGAATATAGAAATCCATTATATTTCCCTCTCATTAAAAGCAGCCAGAACATTACAATATCACAGCACTAATATGTTTCCTTAGGTCCATGGCCACTTCCTCTCAGAAATTAAAAAAAAAAAAATCTGTCCTCCGTTTCCAAAAACTGTTGACTCATACACACTGTCCCTACTTAATGGGTAACAGAAATCTGCTGATTTTGATATCTACATTGGTCCTGCTTCCAGAAGATGTCAGTGATCAAAATTTAACCACCAGTTGGAGACTTCCAGGTTATATAGGCATCTTTGTTGGTATTGTGTATTTATATTTTTGATGTATGTTTCTGATATTTTTCATTCTGTGGGCTGAAGGAAATAACAATTAATTGATACCATTAGTAAATGTGGGATTTTTTCCTACGTTTGAGAGATTATTCATCAAATCCTGTGGTGCAGTTCTAGAGTTGACCTCCAAGAAGACAAGGTTGGTGGAGAGAAAAGATTGTTATTTGAATATTTTTTAAATTTCTTGGTTGATTGTCTGCCCAAAAGTTCTTAGCATTTTGCCATCAATGGGGCTCCATTAAAGGAAGTGTGACTTCCTTTAATGGAGACTTGTGATTATCCGATCCTATGTTCATTTTGAACAATATGTTCATTTTGAACCTAAGCAGGTTCCCCCTCAACTAGCTGCTCTCTTACTCATTTTTTCATTGATGTTGTGGAATACATTGAACTGCTCATCAAATCACACTGCAAACAAGCTTTAACTGGTATAGCTCTCTTGCCTCCATACAGGACCACTGCTATTATCATGGACACATCCAGAATGATGCTGACTCAAGTGCAGTCATCAGGGCTTGTGACGGCTTGAAGTAAGATAGTGTTTTATCATTTATTCATTTTATTAAGAGTGTAAATATTATTACTGCTGTTGGCAATCAGTTTCTTTCATTCAAGTTACTTGGGTTTGATCCAGGACATGTTCAGAAAAAAGAAGGACTTTGTTTGAAATCAAGAAGAGCTACTGCCAGACACAGTAGGGAGCTAAATCAGATCTGTTTAGAAGAGATTCAATGCTTGTGTCTCCTTTGTATACAGGAGGTGATGTTACAGGCAGAGAAGATAAGAAAGATTCAGACTGTGCATCTTGCCAGAAAGTGTACAGGAAGAGGCAAGCAGACTTTTTAGTTCTTCCCAGAAACACTTTCTTGAACCACTGCACACCTTCTCCAACCATCGAGATATCTTATCCGTATAAAGATTCCAAAATTCAGAAGAGCTTTATCTTTAACCATATTCAATGTCCTCCCAACAGGCATTACTGAAGTAAAATATATATAAAAATCCACTTTGAGCAGACACTGTGTCTATGTGGTAGAGGAATAATTGAAATGATTAAATATAATAGAATAACAAGAGGATAGAATAACATTTTGGAAGGGACCTCAAGATCTTCTAGTTCAACCTCCAGCTCAAATGGAGACCCTGACTTGAGTAGAGGAGATTGGAAAGCCATTCCAGAGAAATGGCTGTCCAATCTCCTCTTGTCATTCATCCAGTGATGAAGACAATTAGACAATTTTCTAAGCAAACCGTCCCCACTGGTTGATTGGTTTCACTGTCAGGATTTTTTTTTTTTTTAGTTTTAGGTTGTCTCTCTCTTTGATAACTTCTTGTCTTGCCTTCAGATGCTTTGGGGGTGCTTTCCTCTCTTTTTAGTGACAGTCCCTTAAATATTGCAAAACTGTTATTACCCAGTCCTTCTTTTGTCAGACTAGTTCCTGCCACTATTCATCATATGTTTCAGCCTCCAACTCCATGTTATTCTGCACTGTTTTTCACTCCATTACCCACTTATGCAGATGCTTGCCAAGAATTCTTATTTATATTCTTTATTAAATATCCTGGTCATTCTGACTCTTAAGTTGTTATTATCAAATCAGTCTGATTTTATTTCCTTGACCACAGTCAAATATTCTTCTATGGTTTCTACATAGTATTTTCTCTAACATTTTAAAGATAATTTAAAACAATTATATTTTTCCTTTTTTATCCTAAAAGTGTGATTTTTGTGCTTTATATGTTGGTCTATGACCAAATAAAGATTGATTGATTGAGTGTATAACAATGTATATATGGATGAAATACTTTATATCCTCTTTCGCCCTTATAAGAATAAAGTTTTACACAAAAACGTAATCTTTCAGACAGTGTATTCTTATTTTTCTATAACTAGAAACTTTCTCTATTTTTTGTAAAACCTAGGAAATATACACCATTAGATTCCATACCAAGCTATCACCATACAAATATTGTATAGACATTTCATGGTTGTATTGAAAATGCTTATATTTTTCTGATCGTAGCTATATCTTTGAGAAGCAAAGGAAGGAAATAAAATGAAATTTTCGGTGAGTTTTAAGGAGGGATTCAAAACCACATGGGGATGTTGACTGGATCATTTAAAAATTGGTTATCCACCGAAGGGTCCTAGGTGGTCTCTGAGCTTAGTGGTTTCCTTGTAGGCATTTCACTATCCAACCAGGTGACATCATCAGTGCAGTTCACTCCTCAACTGCAAATAGTATTTCCTACTGGTTATCCATCTCTGATCACCTTTTTCAAAAAGTGTCTACAATTATTTTTGCAGTGGGTATTTCAAGAATAACGGTGAGATGTACATTATTGAACCCTTGAAGCTTTCTGACAGTGAAGCACACGCAGTCTTCAAATATGAAAGTCTGGAAAAAGAGGATGAGACCCCCAAAACCTGTGGAGCAATCCATAATTCTGGGGAATCAGATGAGCCTATCAAAAATACCTCAAAGTTATTCATTACTCCAGAAAAAGTAAGTCTCTTATTAAACTCTCAAGTACATAACGTGGTTGGAGAACAGGGATACATTTATTTGTTTCTAAATGGTAAAATAAGAGAAGAATTCTCTAGGACTGCTTAGAAAAAAAATCATAGAAGAGGACCCCCACACACACACACTTTTAAAACTCTATTTCAGTCATTCCATACAAGAAAATATGGAAGCTCACTGAACAGAAAATACATATTCCAGATTTATATTGTTTTCTATGGTCACACAAAGTTAATTTGGACATTTGGATCAAAATGGTTTCATCTGAATCCCCAAATCATCTCAACTTTCTGAATTAGTTTAGAAAATTTAATCAAATAATAAAATACCTCCTTTATGCATACATAGGGAACTTGGGATAGGAGAAGAAACTGGTTTAAAATATTAAATCAAAGTGTTTCAAGATGTTTAAGGTAAAGGTAAAGTTTCCCCTCGCACATCTGTGCTAGTTGTTTCCGGCTCTAGGGGGCAGTGCTCATCTCCGTTACTGTCCAAAGACGTCTCTGTGGTCATGTGGCTGGCATGACTAAACGCTGAAGGCACATGAAACGCTGTTACCTTCCCACCGAAGGTGGCCCCTATTTTTCTACTTGCGTTTTTATGTGCTTTCGAACTGCTAGGTTGGCAGAAGCTGGGACAAGTAATGGGAACTCACTCCATCACGTGGTGCTAGGGATTCAAACCGCCAAACTGCCAACCTTTCTGATTGACAAGCTCAGTGTCTTAGCCACTGAGTCATCGCATCCCTTCAAGAGTTCTAATAAGACTTAATAAACATAACCTTGACTCATTTTTCCAATCCAATTTGAATCACCAAATTGGATTGAAGTAATGATTGAATTAAAAGAGACAAATTGAGTCTTGTTACAGATGACCCTCATATTCCCAATGTTTTCCTCCATTGCTGGAGACAGAAAAATTCAAAGACAAAACTTTACATCCAAAATAATAATTCCTTCCTTCCTTTTGATGGCAGAGGTTGAAACTGGCTGAAACATACCTGGAAGTTCAAAACCTCAACTTCTTCTGCTAAAATGTGATAGACTTGAACAAGTTGCTGTTACAATGCAATAATGATTATAAAGTCTGCTGCTTGATTTTTGGCTTCAGTCTTCTGGCAATTGGAGATTCTTTATCCTCAGCAAGTTATGGTTTTATATATAGTGTGTTTAGGTAGTCCATTATTTTATAGTCACCTTTGCCCTTTCAATGGTCTAGTCTCAATTTCAGGTGATGGTCACATTATTCAAACTAGGTCTTGTGTATAGCAGAAAGTAGCTGTCAGATAGCAAGAAAAGAATTGGCAATCTAGGGCTCAACACAGGAACTCTCTGACCTTGTATATGGTAGTTCCATATGCTGAAGAACCATGAATATATGTTTTTCCAGCATACGAGAATAATGGGAAGAAGCAAGTAATAGACACTCATACATCTTCTAGGTGTTAAAGTTTTAACAAGCTCTCTCTATATAAATGTCTTCTTCAAAATGCTGATACCAATATTTCAGAAAGTTCAAGTATTTTGACCAGGGAGTATAACAAGCAATTTTCTGATTATCTGATGACCCATGTGCCTGTTGGCTGCAGGGAGCAACATATCTAAACAGTCTTCTGTTTATTGTTCTGTTTAGGGAGAAGAATATTTGGAGGCTGAAAAATATATTGAACTTTACATAGTTGCAGACAATTTAGTTGTAAGTATCTTGGATATCATTCTATTTTCTTTCTGAGTTGAGCACAAAATTTTGTTCCTGTCTTTTTTTAATATGGCCATTTTTGAAGGCATCACCAAACATAACATTCTAACTGGATTGTATCTTAAAATGTGCTTTAAAATATACTGTGATTTTTTTGGTTATTGGTCTCAACCAATATTTACAAAGGGAAAAGAGATTAGAAATTTAACTATATTCTAATTTGCACATTAATTCTTCCCAAATTCCATCTAAATTTTAATTATGCATTATCCAGAAATGCAAAGAT